ACCTTGGATGGTGGGATTTTGACTAAAATCTCTAAACTTGTTTTCTCTGGAGAGGAGAAGGGTCAGAGGGAATTTAATTGAAGTGTTTAAGATTATTAAAGGTATTGATAATATATATTTATCAAACTTTTTTGTGTTTAGCAGTGACAACAATAGGACAAATTTTGGCAGCATAGATTTTTTACAGTTTAGACACTATTACTTTTCAAACAGGGTGGTTGGCTTTTGGAATGAGCTACCTTCAAGGGTGGTAGAGGCAGAACATTTAACTGAGTTCAAGAAAAGATTGGATGAATACATCAGTAATAAGGGATGGTTATAGTTGGGAGCTAGAAGGGACATCCTTGATGGGCTAATTCTTTTTTCCCTTTTAAAATTTTATGTATTTTGTTTGACATATGCATTCAAATAACTTGCAAAACAAATATTGCAACATTGACAGGATATCAAATTTAGACAAGTTTGAGCTGTCAAACAAAAGTATATGGTTTGATATTTCTTGTTGAAAAATGTGCATTTAAACTAAAGCCCTAACACTAAAATATTGTATCAAGCACAAGATTACTACTATGTTAATTACACCTCCAAGTGCTGATAATGTTAAATTCTCTCTTTTAAGTGGAAGTAGAATCTCTTGCCTTGGAGAAAATTTCAGGAAAGGTGCAGGCATTCTACATCTTTATACAGAAAGTGAACATGATGTTCTCAGCTGTGGATATGATGCAACCATCAGGATGTGGGACCGTCGATGTGGAAACAAGAGGTGATGTGATTATTTTGTAACTTGTATGTATAATATACAGTTTGTGTTTGATGTAAGTTTCTTTAAATATTTTCACGTTTATATGTGAAACAGATGATGTTGAGATACTAATACTGATTTAGACTCGCCTCTGTTTTGCTGGCAATAATATTTCACTAAATTCTCTTGTATAAACTAATAATACTGTATTTGTATCTTTTATTGAACATATTCTGTGTTGGTGAAAAAATGAGTTAAATTATGTTTTTTATCATGTTTAGAATAAAAAAAAATTAAAAGATATTCCCAACATAGGCTCGGTTGATTTGACTGAGCACGTGATCTCTTTGTACTCATATAAAGTCTTTATAGATTTGATAATACTAACTTTTATTATAGTATCTATATCTTCACAAAATTTGGCAGGCTTTCAGTAAACATTATGTCTTTCAAATACAAAAAAAATCTTATTTTTTGTGAAGTATTTTAGATAAACTAAAAAAAAAAAGAAAGATTTGTCCCTGAATATATTGAATATTTGTTTTGAATAGTTTATGTGCAAAGTGATTTTCATGTTAAGATTAAAAATACTTTTCTTCACCTCAAAAAATTTCAGATTTGATTTACGTGATCTCTAAAACCTCCTAACTACATTTCAAACTTTTTTTTTCAGTAAAATTTACATTTTATCTGTTATTTTCTCTACCCTAACTCTATACAAGGTTGGTCAATTAATAGATAAATCTAAATTACCCTTTCTTTCTTTCTAGAATGACTTCAAATTATAACATCAAACTACGTTCCTCTATCTTAAGTATTTTTAACTGTCTCAACACGGAGTCGGTCAATTTGACCAACCACGTGACCTCTTTCTACTCATTTAAAGTCTTTATAGATTGAATACTTTTAACTTTCAGTATAGTGTGTATATCTTCACAAAATTTGGCAGTTAATATTGTAAGTCTTTCACTTATAAAGATCATATTTTTAGTGAAGTATTTTTAATAAAATAAAATAAAGATTTGTCCATGAATATATTGAGTATTTGTTTTCAATAATCCGTATACAAAATAATTTTCATATTAAAATTAAAGATACTTTTCCTCATCTCAAAAATCTCAAATTTCCATTGTGTAATCTCTAAAACCTTCCAAGTACACTTCAAACGTTTTTTTTTCATTAAAACTTTATAGTTTATCTGTTATTTTCTCTACCATATCTCAAAATGGAATTGGTCAATTCGAATAACCTCATAATCACAAAAAAAAAATCAAATCAATCTAAATTACCCTTTATTATTCTAGAATGACTTCAAATTTTAACATGAAACTACATTTGCTTATCCTAAGTAGCTTTAACATTATACATCTATGTATTATTACATTTTATTGTTTAATTGCCCTTTGAACCTTATCTAGCTACTATCTGTGCTATAAAAAGTTGTAAATCACTCGGGGCACATGCAGCTCACGTTTCACTATAGAATTACATTATCTACGTGCTACTCGAGTGCATACCTCGTAAAACATTTTTATTATATTATTATTTACTTTACCTAATTTAATTTTAACTAACTTATAAAGATCCTCATTTTTAGATTTTAGTTACTTTTATAATAACAATAAAGAATGAACATTAAAAACAAGAAATAAATTACTTACCCAATCATCTTTTTTCTTGCTGTCGATTATACTTAAGCCTACATATTTTATACCAGTTGTAGTAGTGCATTAAATAATTTCTATTTAATTAAATAATGCACCAAAGAACATAGACTAATAACATCCAAAAAGCAGGCAATTTCCCCTAACTCTGGCTTTCTAACTATACGACAAGAGCTGTTGCAAATTCATCCAAGCTAGTTGTAACTATGTCATTTGATAGATGAAAACTTTCATTTTCTATTGGTTATAGGTAATATATAATTAAACGTAAGAGAGAAATATTAATGAATTCTGAAAGAGAAGATTTAACAGGTAGTTGTGGCAGGAGGGGTCTGATTTTTCTATTTATAGCTCTGTAACTAATACGGATCTATACTATACGGTGATTTTCTATTTATAGCTCTGTAACCAAACAAGATTGAAGGCTATAAAAATTATGGTGCATTTTAGCATTGGC